GATAAAGATAGACTACCTAAAATATTTACATTAAATATTTAGTAGATAATCCCTGTAATACCGCTGTAGTGTGTGATTTTTTAATTAATCATGTGCTAAAATGTGTCTTGTGCAAGTTGAGCAAAGAGACATTAGGGGTTTTTTCAGTGTTTCAAAAATTTATCAGTAATAGCTCAGACTTTAGTATTATGCCCGATACATTATTATCGTAAGAGCCATGCTTCGGCATGAACGGGCCAGCTCGGCCGCAGTGATACCACGGCCTCACAGAAAATCGACGTGAAGCAACGCTTGCATTGAATATGCTTGTCGTGTGAGTGAGGTTACCGTAGGCCCAATTACCCCCTTCCCTAATCCTCGAGTTCCTAATCCCCAAAAGGCCAGTAACGCACTCGTAATACCGCTGGTGTTTCGGATGTCCATAAGCGGATTGCTTACCATCAGGTGATCCGTCTGCTCGTTTACCAGCGCGTTTTAATGGTTAGGTGTTTAACTCATACAAGTTTCGTGTAAATAAATTTTTTTAAGGCATGCGCACAGCTCGCGACCGCTGAGCATTCGCCAGATGTAGACGCACCCTAACATTACATTTTTAAAGTGCAACCCGCCAATCCCTTTGAAGATTAAAAAACGCACTACGAATGTGTTGCATTTGCCAATAAAGTATCGCATTAAAATGTTAATCATACATTTACATTGTACAAATTGTTGTTTATTTTAGTAACATGTAATTGTAAACCTTAATAGCATGTATTACGTTACAAGGACAACAAAAAATACCGTCATTGCAAAATGCTGACATTTCTAGCATATAAAAAGGCTATCAAAACATAAATTCAGACATTCATTTTCGTTTGGGTCTAGAGATAAAATGTCGTCACCTACAGTAAGTAGGGGTCTTGGGCTCTAAATTTACATGAAAACTTACATGTAATAGAAAATTATGTTGTATGTTAATTTGCTATTGTTTACGCCTTGTGTATTTTATTTTATATCTTGTATTTCTCTATTCTTACATTGTTGAAACTATATTTTTTATTTATGAGTATTATTGAAGACATTCTCAAATAAGGCCATTTGCGGAGTTTTAAAAGATGACCTGAATGATGGAATCTAAAGAAGTTTATATGGATAAGGCCCACAGAAAGTAGTGTTCTGTAGTTTCTGCATAACCACATTGGGATAGTTTTGAGATTATGAGTTTTATGTTATTATATGTTTTTCGACTTACTCAGGTAATTATTTGATGCGATTATCGCGCTGCTAATCAGTACCGTGATCATCGCCGCGTCACGGGCCGCTCATGAATATGAGCCTCTAGCATGGCTTGAAACAAGTCGAGTTCATCGTCAAATAATTACGTTAGTAAGCCGAAAAATATAATAGTAAATTCTATTGTAGTGTATACCTTTTTCATTGTAATATTAATAGTCATTTAGATAGGTACAGTATATCTTAATTTCAAATTCTCTCCCAAACATAACTACTGTAACTGATCCAATATGAAATGTATGATAGATCTATCTATATTTTCGATTACATAAGTTCCTTTTTATATAACATCTTTGCAAAAGGGTGAAGTTTGTTCATCGGAGCTTATAATGATCGGCGTTCAAAGCAAAACTTTTTTAGATGAACGGCGATCTGGTGTCCACTTGAGCATCCCTTAATGGAGGGCCGAGAAAATATAAGTTTAACCGAGAAAAAATATATCGAGTCTCCTTTACTGAGAACTGGGAACTATATTGCTATTATTTATTTCTAAGGGTTTTTATCCTATCTTAGATGTCTGTTCTCTGTTCTTGTCGTTAAGTAACTGTTTTGTTGATGGAGTGGTTGCTAGAACAAGATTGTTGAGTGAATTCTTAGAAGGACTGTGTTTTGGTTGACACTTTATCTTTGTTTGATGTTAGTTGTATTGTTTATCGTAACTAGGATATATTTTTGTATAGAACTGATTTTTGTAAGCATTAAATTCGGAGCTATTGTACCTACATAATAATTGACGTTCCTCTTGAATCACTCTATTTAAAAAAAAACATCAACATCTGTAGCGTAATTTTAAAGATCAAAAAATAAACTAGCTATTATACTATGTAGTGATTAAACATAATAGGGTAGTATCCTAAATTTTATTCTAATGTCCGTCTGGTAGATTATTTTAAAACATTAGACACGTATTTTTTCTTTTCTTACAAAATTAAAAACTTTCGACGATATATTGATTTGAAATATCGTGTGACGTCACGATTTAGAGGTACTACATTTTATAGGGTAGCGTGACGTAACGATCTAAGTAGTGTTTTCTTATACGAAAAATATGTGTCTAATGTCTTTTTATTATCTAATTGACGGACTAATTACATTTTTGATTTTCATACCTGTCTACTACGCTATTAGAGTTTAGTGATTTAGAACCAATTTTTGGAACAAAATACAAACGATCCTAACGGCTGTCTCGTTGGCCGAGTGGTCGCAAGTGCGACTGCCGTGCAAGGGATCTCGGGTTCGGTTCCCGGGCCGGGCAAAGTATTACTGGGTTTTTTAAAAAAATTCTCAGTTGTAGCACGGAGTCTGGAATTGTGCCCGGTATATGGCAATAGGCTCACCCCCTATTACATGGGACTCATAACATAAATAGTGAAAAGTGGGTGTTACATTGTACAGTGGCATAATGTGCACCTCTGACTACTCCTTCGGGGATAAAAGGCGTGATGTTATGTTATGTTACAAACGATCCTACTAACTAACCTAATTTTCGGATTAGATTATCATTCGACGTCCTGGTTGTCCGGGCCATTTTGCTGTTGATGGGGGCTAACATTAGATGGCATACATGTAGAAAGGATATATTTGTCCAATCACAGCAGCTGTCAAATTTTGAACGTCCAATGATGTGACACTAGCTATTTCCCTATTGGACGAAGAACGAAAGGTCACTAGTGCCATCTAGTGAGCATAAATAGGTACGGTGGGCCCCATTGCATGCCATTTAATGATGTCTTTAAGACATGCTGTTAGTATGTTTTTACATTGTAACTATGTTGTAATAAAAGTGAAACGGTGTGACAGATAATGCATGCATTAGTTTTGTTTGTTTTGTAAATAGCAAACGATTTAATGGTTTGTTGAAGAAACCAATCTATCCACCAATCTATGCATGTAAAATGTTTGTTTTATGAAATGAAATCATACATATTGTTCAATACAGAGACAGAACTGTATGCTTAGTGTAGGGCTGTCCAAACAAAGGTCCGCGGGCCGCATTTTAATCTAGACATCTTCATCTTATGTGCAACAATAATAATAAAGTTTAGTGTATGATTTGTATGCAAGTTTGGTCTGTGAGTAAAGAAAACAATGTTAAACGTCATTATACAACTGAAAATATTTTACTGGCCTTTCAGTTTTTGTAAGAAATTTAATTAGCCCTCGAGAATATGTATATAGTTTGGACAGCCCTGGTCTAGTTCATTTACTGTCTAAAGGAACCTGTAACTAATACATACTACACTAATTCATTGTAAATGAGTTTGACGGCTTCATCAAATTCGTTTCATATAGAAGTCAAGTTCAGATTGATTTCTTTTCTATGGGCCTATAGCTCCTCAACATCTCACACTGGAATACCATCCTTTGAAAGCCCATACATCGTTAGTACCTCCAATTTGGCTGTCAGTCAGTATAATACAACCCAAACCCGCTTTCATATCATTTTGATTAGAAAAAAAAGTGTACAAAGAACTTTATTACAATAGAAATTTACACGCCGTTTCCTCCAATAAATATTCGGGAATACACACCTTACACCTATAAGAGTAAGGACCATAATCGTCTGAACGTGATGGATGTACCCAAAGATTCGATCTTTTATGGCTGAGAGGTGCTAAATGCGAATTTTGTGAATATAAAAGCTATTTATTTCGTATTTTCGGTTCTTTAAGAGTTTTGATGTGTGTGTGAAGTTGTCTGACGATGAAATGTGGGTACATTTGTAGGGATCAATTTAAAAAGAAATTAATGCTGACATCGAAAATAATGCTTATGCTGTTCAGATAAAGACGGGTTTTGTATATCAAAGAATGAGTTCTTTATAAGTTGTTCTCGAAGTTTCTAGATAATCCTTTAAGAACTGGTATCATGTAAGTAGAATACGGATGAGTCCTTTGTAAGCCAATGGCACGTACTGTAAAGAATATATTTTGGGTTTTGAGGTAATCAATATGTATTGGAGAATAATAGTGTGGCAAAAAATGCTAAGTAAATTTACTTTTAGCTACGGCTTTGATAGATAAGAAACTGACTGAATAAGGCTTATTTTCGCATGTTTTTATTGAAAAGGTATACCGGGAAAATATATGGTAATCTGTCTATATCCTGTTCTTTGCCAAACTAGGTAGTTGGAATTCAGACAGTATTTTCCTAGTTTTTGTGTTGTTAGGCTTAAGAGCTTCTTTTCCAAGCCCACTCATTAAGATTGTCCTAGGACAATTTCTATATTACAACACTAATCGATGGCCAAATGTAAGGATTACTTCAGATTGGTTGGTTGATTGCAAGCCTTTCGGTTTTCGGATACATTTCGGTGAGTGTGTGGGGAAATTGCACAACTTGATTCCCCCTAGTACTTTCTATTATCGTAAATATCCCATCCACACGCACGAAACGTTTTGCATCAAACTTTTTTATGGGCAAAGTATTACTGGGTTTTTAAAAAATTCTCAGTAGTAACACGGAGTCTGGAATTGTGCCCGGTATATGGCAATAAGCTCACCCCTTATTACATGGGACTCATAATAACATAAATAGTGAAAGGTGGGTGGTTACATTGTACAGTAGTATCATGTACACCTCTGCCTACCCCATCGGGGATAACGGGCGTGATGTTATGTATGTAATATTATGAAATTATACTACTTGGTGCATATAAATCCCATCGCGTTAATACTGTGTGTCATGTAATACGCGTATAAATAATATATTGAAAGAATCTCACTCACCTACAATAGTAGCAAGAATGATAAGAGCTAGCACCACAGAGGTAACAGCCATGAGGACGAACGACGTGACATCGGTGGTGGTGGAGTTGGTGCTGGTGCCATTGATGGTGCCGTTGCAGCCCCACGCCACGGCGTCCACCCACGAACAGTTGCCGTCGTACCATTCCGAGGACGTCGGGAATGGCGGGTCTTCTGGAAATATTAATGATATTTTAATAAGGTGTATCTGTTACCTACATGTATAAAAAAATGTATAAAAAACATCACTAAAAACAAAATTTTATGATTATAATAAACAAACAAATGTACGCAATAATGAATATGCAATACGTCTATACACATTTTTATATATATAATTCTTCTGTGAGTGTATATCTCACTGAAATTCTCTCAAACGACGAGACCGATTTTGATGTGATTTTTTGTGTGTGTTCAAGGGGATCTGGGAATGCTTTAGATTCACAAATCAGCCCGGCAGATGCCGCTGCAGTCGATGTTTAGGTTATTAATATCCTAACAGCTGAACTAATTTGAATGAATTTTTGTTTATACATTCAAGTGGATATGCATGACAACGTCTGTTGGGTCCTATCCTATATATGTAAAGAAATTATATTTTCTTTAATAATTATTGTTCATATGAGATTTAAGTAATTAAACTTTTTTATGTTACCATAGATAACATTTAGAATCTATGGATTGAGAATTGTCAAAACGAGAGACGTGTTAATTGAATATCTTACGGAATGTAATTAAAATAGATAAAAGGGAGAATTTGGAATTTAAATAATAGGCTTAATCGTTGTTTCTTTGATTTACAGGTGAGATGATCGTTATTATTTTATTACTAGATTATTAGTGTACCTAAATATGTTATGTTTTTGTTAAATAAAAACTTTGATTTACAGAGCAACACGTGGTTTGTTATTTCTACTTCAATATCTCCAAATAATCCAATCATTACATATATTAGAACAAAACGTGAATACTGAACAGTGCACACCGCTGTTACTTCAACTCTCTCAAGATTTCATTCAACAATCGCTACTTCATAGTTCATACGATTTTCTTGAAAACTAACTCACTTCAGTAAGTGAAAACTTTAATTACATTCAGCGAATTCTGTACAGTCGATCGGAGAAATCGATGTACTTGGCTAAAGCCAGAACTTTATCCATTGGCAATAAGTGTTATGAAAATATAACGAAATATTCAGGAGTATGTGAAGAATAGAAGTAGAGGTAGTTCCCTGAAACTTTCATTTCGTGCACCGGTGAAATTTTAAATTGGCTGTACTGTAAACTTGGTTGGCTTTCAGACGTAAAGTTTCAGCGGATTTTACATTAGATTTTGTTATTTTATCGACGAATTACTTCAACTTGTGTTTTTAATAGCTTTCGGTGTTGGCATTTTGTTTTGAAAGTTCTAGAATCACAATTTACTTTTGATTTTAACGTGGTATTTTTAATGAATGTCGTAATGGTATGGAGGTTTAAGACGCCCGCTTCTCATGCATGAGGGTGCGGGTTCGAAACCTATCAACGGCCAGTACCAATATGACTTTTTCCGAGTTATATGTATTTTCTAAAATTATCTAGACACCACTGACAAACGGTGAAGGAAAACATCGTGAGGAAACCAGGGCCTATAATTTCTAATTATAAGTTAGTTATCGCCAACCCGCATTGAGCAAGCGTGGTGATTAATGCTCAATCCTTCTCCGTGTGAGAAGAGGTCTTTGCTCAGCAGTGGGCGTTTATAGGCTGTTGGTGATAATGATGATTTTTTATTGAAAGGAAATGTTGCTGCTTTTGGAAATTACCGCTATCTGACGAGTATCTAATTAAATGATAGATTGTCTTAGGTTCTATTTAATTGGACACGCTGTATCTACGTCCAAAATGTGTGTTTTTATTATCGGACCCTAAATAACGACCACAATTAAATACATGTTCCCTGAACCATGACAGCCATTAAATAACTCAACACAAATTGGCTGATTTGATCGGAAGTCCAAAATGTAACATAATGTCACAAAAATAACGTATTTTATGTGAATTCATTGTTCATTACATCAAATAAATTGGCACACATCAATATCTTTCAAAAGTAATCATTGAAAAATATTCCCTACCACATGGGTAATAAAGATCGAATTCTCATATATCGCGTTTGAAACTCCACATAGCATTGATGGGGCAATTTACGGTAGAAAAAAAATGGAATATAACATCTTCAATACCCCAATTTGATAGAATTACTCTTGAATGGATCGCTATTAGGCACGATCTAAACCCATAAGTTTTGCGACGTGAGAATTTTTTTTAAATTCATTGAAAAATAGAAGGTGAAGATTGCGTTACAAATGTTCAACTTCATATTGATTAGAGTGAAAATAAACTGCCTTACTTATCAATAAGGTAGAGGTAATTTTCATAAGCAGCGTACGCGATCACGGCAATATCGCGCAGCTCAAGAGGAAGAGTCCCACTGTGACTCGAAACTAATAGAGCTATTCTCATTATATTTATTTTTTTATTTTTTTCATTTATGGGACTATGTAACTTGTCATTTTTAGTTAAACTTAACAATATCATTTTAAATAAAAAAACATATAAATATATTCTAACATAACATCACGCCTTTTTATCCCTGAAGAGGAAGGCACAGGTGCTTATTAGGGTACTTAATGCCACTGTACAATGTAACACCCACTTTTAACTATTTATGTCACGAGTTCCATGTAATAAATGATGACCCTATTGCCATATACCAGGCACAATTCCAGACGCCGTGTTACTACTGTGATTTAAAAAAAAAATTAAAACCCGGTAATATTTTGCCCGACCCGGGAATCGTTGCCCGGCAGTCTCACTTGCGACCACTCAGCCAACGACGCATAAATGTATTCTACGGCGTCTAAAATAAACTAATCGTGACCATAATACATATATCTTTCTATACGTTTCTGTACATCCACAATAGAAATTCTTTTAAAATAAGACGAGATTTACCCTTATTTAATCCTTAAAGATCAAACGTCGGACTGTACCATTTATTATTCTTTTAATTCATTATCTTAATGCACACTGGATTATTAGATTAATAAACGTCAAGAATAAAGTATTACACAGTAAAAGTTAAATGTATTGGACGTTGAAATATTGTAGAAATGTGCATGAATGCAAAAATTCTCTGGTTTTTTTTTATGTCATAAGCCGGTAAGCAAGGTGACAGATCAACTGATAATAAGCTATCGGCTTCGCCTATGGACACCCGGACCGGCCTTTCCTGCGTTATTGGCCTGTTGGGGATTAGGAATTTACGGATGGTTCGGAGATTCAGGGATTGGGGAGATTGGGGAAGGTGGGGGTAATGAGCCTCCGGTAACCTCACTCACACGACGAAACACCACGCAAGTGTTGTTTCACGACGATTTTCTGTGAGGCCGTGGTATCACTCCGGTCGAGCCGGTCCATACACGCAATAATGTCGCGACCGCTCAACCATCACACCATTGTGCTGTGCAGTTTCTAATAGTTATACCTTTATTGTTAGAGTTGAGTATTTTATTTAAACTCAACACGTACTACAAACAATTACGACTATCAGCCGCTTCAGACTACAATAACATTAATTAAAATAAGAGTGAATAGCAGTTGTGTTAATTTTTATTTTGTTAATAAAAATAAAAAGTCACATGTATAATTATATATGTATAATTATATATAAGATTCTTTGTTATATAAAAACTATTTTTCTATATAACAAAGAATCTTATATGTAGGTACCTATTTAAAGTTTTGCCATTATTCTCCATAACTTATATTACCACACAAGGTAAAAGTTCAGTATTAGTTTTTTTTGAAAAATATACTGTAGTATTCATAATCAGTTAAAGAGAAATCTTTGAAATAAGCACATATAATGGCCGCTAATAAAATGTAGTAAAACTGATGATGACTGCCTCGTTGACCGAGTGGTCGCTAGTGCGACTGCCACTATTTTCACTATTTATGTTATGAATCCCATGTAATAGGGGGTGAGCCTATTGCTATATACCGGGTACAATTCCAGGCTCAGTGCTACTACTGAGATTTTTTTTTAAACTTTGCTCGACCCGGGTATCGAACACGAGACCCCTTGCCCGGCAGTCGCACTTGCGGCCACTCGGCCAACGAAGCAGTCAACTTAATATATTTAATCAATAAAAGATTTTTTTGAATAGACAATTTGGACAAATCGTCTGGTGCTGATATTAATTAAAGATTATCAATTAATCAAAGGCATCAATTAACATGTTCATTCAATATTTAATCACGAATCTTTCGTCTGGAATGCGAGTCACACCCCCTCTCGCTGCATATTAATGTGTACCTGCATTAAAATGCAAGGAGACACCTCCTGGGCCGACGAATAATAAGTACAGATGAACTGCTGGAATATTAAGCAGTGTTCTACTTGCATTCATTTTTGTCTTCAAGTACATATAACATCACGCCTTTTTTCCACGAAGGGGTAGGCAGAGGATCACATTAAAGCACTTAATGCCACTGTAGATACAATGTAACACCCACTTTTCAGTATTTATGTTATGAGCCCCATGTAATAGGGAGGGCCTATTACCATATGCTGTGCGCAATTCCAAAATCCGTGCTACTACTGAGATATTTTAAAACCTCAGTAATACTATGCCCGACTTGGGAATTGAACCCGAGATCCTTTACCCGGCAGTCGCACTTGCGATCACTCGACCGAGGCAGTAATGCTGAAAATGACATCTAAAAAGGATAAGCCAAAAAAAAACAAAATCTTAAAGTAGCTATGATCTCGTATAAGCACTTTAAATAACATAAAACTTTTAATTTATGCATCGCACCAGACAGAGCAAAAAAGGGTTTAAAACATTATACGGATAAAGGGGGATCAGTTGAATCACAGAGTAGTTTTAGTATGAACTAAAATCCACACAACTTTTAATAGGGCCAGTCTCTAATCTGCTTTCAATTTTAAAAAAGTTGGCATCTCACAATAAAGAGAGTCACGACGGAATACCGACGCATTCCCCTCCGATTCACATTTAATTATATTATCCGCATTTAATTAGGAACTGCAATTACGCCGCGGAATTCATATGGAAATACTTCAATAGGCTAAGGATGGAGTTTTGAGATGTTTTTATTGAATGATTG